CTGATAGAAGATTTTTGAATAGTTTGAAACTATTGTATTGATAGAAGATTTTTGAATAGTTTGAAACTATTGTATTTTGTACTCCCATATGTATAAAACTATAGAATCCTGGGAAGTTATGTAATATATACCACTTTGAAATAGTCGGTTTGTATCCAGTAGTTTGTAATCACTTTATCAGTATAAAATATTGTTTTTATGAATATGCATGTAGCATGTTTCGGAGTAACAATTATCAAGTATGAAAGTGTGGGTCTTTCACTCATTAAGCTCTAGGCTTACAATTTTTTATTATGTTTTAGGTACCTCAGATGATCGTGGGAAGGTGAAGGCTTGATCCTGCACCTCCTCGTATTTTGTGTTATGATTTCTAGGAAAACTCTGATGTGAAATTTATTTTGAAAACAATATGTAATAAATGATGGTTTGTACTTATTTCAAAAGATAAAAGTTTCAAGAAATTTTCGAATGTTACAAGTTGGTATCACAACCTTTGTTTGAGTGAATTGGAGGAACACTCGTGTAAATCCAGTCTCAAACTAAGGAAAAGATTTTCAAAATGATTTTCAAATGGTTTTCAAAATGCTCAAAGAGGATGCAATGTGTACGATCAGCCGAAGTTAGTAAGTGGACCCCAAAATACCATAGCTGCTATTTAATATTGTGATATGTTAGAAAAGCATGCTAGTGATAGGCTAGAGATCTTCAGGAATTGCATGATAGAATTGCCAGATTATATGATGGCTGATAGCCTAACATTTTTTTTATGAAATTGGCATCATTACTGTAATTACTTAGTGTATGCATCATGGTTATATATAACAAAGATCTTATAGCCTGAGAATGTCTGGTTTTGTCTTATTTCCTGTTCCTGTTTGATGAAGGGCTTAGGTTAGGATAAGATATCTGAATGTCTATACAATCCAGTGTTATGTATGGCTAGCATACACGACTGCTGCAGGGTTGGTGGAAGTTTCACGGATGAGACGTAAGGGGTGACTCGACCAGTTATGAGAAGTTTAGTCTTTCTTCTAGGGGTGAGGACTAAGTGTTCGTCTATGCTTATGAGTATTGTTAGGGCGAGGTGATGATCCTTGAGACAAATACGGGTAGGTGTGGAAGTTATGGTCGTTTGAAGTTTAAATGAAAAGCGGGACATTATGTAGTACATTGGGCGTACTGACTATAGAAGGTCGCGGGATCACTCTAGTACGCCGGGGCATACTTATAGGTACGTTGGGCGTACGCGACCCACACTCAAACCCTAATATTCAACATTTGGACCCTATTTAAGCAACTTAAGTCCCTTGAGGATTTTCCTTTCTCAACCTCCATTCACCCTAAAGTAGTATTACGAACCATTGCCCCTTTTCGTTAGATCTTGAGCTTTTCGAGTGATTTTTATGTGTTTGGTCCATAATGAAGAATGAGGAACTCATTGGAGGAGCATTCATTTGATTGGAGCTTGAAGATCCATAAATCTCTTCACATTTGTAAGTTTTGGAGGTATAAAGCTTCCAACTTCTTTTACATAAATCTGGTTTTGGGTTATGTTTTGGGCATATTTTGGTCCCATGACTTGGATTTGTGAGTGGAAGTTACTCCAGAACCTTTGGACTTCATAAATTGGTATTTCTTAGTTGTATAAGTGATAAAAATCGAAGCTTGAGTGCTGAAGTTCACTCATGCTTGAGTTGTTAACCTTTTTATGGTGTTTTGGACTTAGGGTTTAGTGTTGGATCCTATTAAGTCATGCAAGTAAGTAAAGTTGCCAACTTTATGGATTAAGACCTTAATTAGAAGTAGATCTGAGGTTTGTATGTTAAGGGATTAAGGGATTAAGCCATTCAGATGAGAAAAGATCAATGACCAGTACGTTAAGTGTACTTCTGTGTACGCTGCATGTACTGGGGTTTGTGTCTCGTATTCTAGTCAACGTGACTACGCGGGGCGTACGGATAGTGTACGCTGGCCGTACTCCATGATGTGGACCTAGAATGATTTTGTGCCATTTTCAGGGTTTGGGCTATGTTTGGTTGGGTTTAGCCTTTATGGGGTAAAATGGTCTTTTAACGTTGGATTCGAGATTAAGGATTTATATTCCCGGTTATGTTTTATCACCTAATTATTAATTAGGATATTATTTGATTGATTAGTGCGGGGATTCTCCAGTTCAGCAGCCCGATCATCTATTTGTTTATCAGCGGATTGAGGTGAGTTTGCTCACTATACTATAGGCCACTAGGAATTATATGTGCTTGTAGTCTTCGTGACTCCTGTTGTATAATGGTATGCTTGTGTGCCTATTTGTTATATGTATGTGGGGTGAAATAGACCCGATATAGCTTTGTGCTAACATGTGAGTTGAAATAAAGTCGGGAGTGAAATAGACCCGGGAGCAAAATAGATCCGGTACAGCCTTGTGCCGACCTATGAGTTGAAATTGGTTCGGGGGTGAAATAGACCTGATACAACCTTGAGCTGACGTATATGTATGTTATGCGGTATTTAGGAGAACTCACTAAGCTTTGTGCTTACGATTTTTTGTTTATGTTTCAGGTCCTTCCAATTCGAATGAGTAGAGCTCGAGATGATCACATCGCGCACACACACCATGATTTCCGCCATATTTGACTCTGATGTATTTTTGGATGATTGTTGACATACTCTGATTTCACTTATCATTTTTGTAAACATGTTTGGCTGATTGTTTTATTAATACAAAAATGAAATTTTTTGTTATAAATTTTGGGACGTTAAAATTAATATATTAATCGCATAATATATTAAAACAACATTTATCATTCTCTGCTAATATCATTTCTAGCTATTTCTGATTATGAGGACAACCTAAAAGGACTTTAGTTTTTAATTCAAGTATATACCAATTTAGTTATTCGGTTACACACTTAATCCATCAATATTAATGTTAGAAATGTCACAAAAATAGAGGTTTAATTGCATTTGACTGTAAACAAGGTTGTAATTTTTGCAATTAAAGATGCAACAAAGGTTGTAAATAGCATTGAGAAATGTTCTAATTCTTCACTAGAAAGGTAATAAATGTTGAAATTTATTATAAAAAAGCTACGTTTTTGTAACTAAAATAGTAAAAAAAAAGTTGCATATAAATGGAAAACAAATTGCATATGAGCATAAAAAAGTTTATTTTTCATAACAGAGATTGTATTAAAAAAAGGTTGCATCTAAAAAATAATTGCAACCATTTAAGAAAGGGTTGCATTTGGTCTAATGCAATTTTCCTAATGCAACCTTTGGTAAAAGGTTGCTTTCGGCATTATACAACCTTTTCAAGCCTTAATGCAACCTTTTAGAGAAGTCGCATTAGCTTGATTTTGTTGTAGTGTGTAGGGGTAGAGGCAAAGTTATTGGGGTTCGTCACGTTCTGGATGTAGATATATAAGAAATGACAAGTGATAGGGGTTAAGATCAAGGGAAATGAAGATGGAGGTGTGATGTTACATATGGACACGAGCATCGACGATTACGTCGGGCAAGAAGAATAAAAAGGCGAGATGAGTGTCGATGAAGATAAGGGGCATGAGTTAGTGGGGTGATGTGTGAAAGGGGCTTTAATTTTTTTTAAAATAAAATTAATTAAAATTATATATTCAAAAAGAAATATAGGTTATTTTATAGGAATGAAGGACAAACACACAAATATAGATTATATTAAACTTGATTTAAATGATTTTATCGACAACCCAGCTGGATAAGCAAATTTTTCGGACCTTTATTTTCGTCTTGAACTACACGTAAATATCATAATTTGATTCGTTAGTGATTTAACGATTAAACTATGCAAATTTTAGACAACTTTTTCTAAATTTAAACACAAACTTTATACTGTACTTGTGACAAACTAACGAGGACACACATAATAAAGATTCAGGTAGGATCTCAATATAACAAATCTATCACTGAACAACCTATATACCAAAAAAAATTGCTGCAACAACGTATTACAACCAGCATCATATATATCATTATATCATCTCTCATTCTCTCCAAATTTTATAGTTTCACTAATTACACATCCTTGAGAAATTAACAACTAAATCCCAATAATGACCAACCCCAGCATCATAAAACACTTTGCGAGCAGCATTTTCGGTACTGCATTCATGCACCAAAAACCTTTGAAAACTTGGTTTAGTCACACTCCCTTGCCACACCAACACACACTTATTCTTCACGTTCTCATCATCATCATCAACCTCTTCATGCATATTCTCTTCTTTCACAGCCGCAGCCCAATTTATCCTCTTCAACATCAACTTCTGATACCGTTTTACCGATTTACCCCCGCCCTCCACCACCACGACAGAAATACCCTCCGAAATAACCGCACACCCCGACAACCGATTCTTCTGTGCATTTACATCAACCTTAAACCTAGTCTGAAGGTGCGAAAGGTCATTCATTTTGTATATGGACACAATTGTTTCGAGGGTATTATTATTGTCATCGAAAAACTTTGGTTTTTTCTTTTTGCGTCTTTCGGTCGGAGTCAACTTCCGGGCGATATTCCGGTCAACATGAGCCTGTTCACATTGGGCGGCTGCGCTTCTGATTTCCATTTCAAGGCGGGTCGGGTTTTGGGTGGCTTCTGATCCGAGGACTTTCATTAGATTGCTCATTTTGACTTTGGGTTTTGGGGGTTCTAGAAGGCCTAGGCGGATCATTTCTTGCCGGGCTTTTTCAGTGGCGAGGCGTCTTTGAGTTCGGAGTCTTTTGCGTTCTTTTTGGGTGAGTTTTAGAGGCTGAGGCGGGGGTGGGGCCGGTTCGGCTGGCGGTTCGATTGGGTGGGGTTGTTCCATGTATAGAGTTATCTTCTCTTTCTTTAGTATATCTTCAGGTGGCCCGCCTTCTGTGACGTTTCCGTAAGTACCAGAATCAAGACACACTCAAATGAAAGGTCTTCGGCTTTTCTTTTAGGTCTAGGTTAATCACGCTGATGCTTGTTTTACTTTGAATCTTCAAAGACTCTTCAACGTAATTAGATCAACAAACTGAAAGGTCATCTTTTTAGGCCTTAAAAGTTTAGTTTTATCGATTCCCATTCGAGGATCAAAGTGAGGGTTTTCATCTAGATCCACTTCTAATTCCGGTTTCAGAATCTGGAATGCATCTTTCTTCTGTTTGTTAATGTTAACCTTAAGGGTGCTCAAGATGTTTAACTTAGGTATATTTACCACATTGCCATTTTCATCGACTTCCCTACCCAATGCATCCAAACTAAGAACAGGGGCTTTAGCATGCTTTGGTTGTACAGTCACTTCTGGTGCCAGCTCTCCGGGGAACTTGTTTATAAGTGGTGCAAATTCCGGGTCTTTTCTAAAACCCATCTTGGCAGCAAGCTCTTGAGCCCGTTTTACAGCTTCAGAATTTCGGGGCAGCCCACCACCAAGTCGGGCAGCAGATTGTGGTGGGGCAGCGGGTATTCCTGAACTAGATGGAGGTTTGAGGCCATCTCTTGCTGAGTCAGTACCCTTGTTTAACAACGGGATCTTCTTCATCTTTTCTGCAAGCCCCTTGTGCTTCAGTAAAGTTGCTTTGGCCATAGATAAAGCATTGAGAGAGATGCCTCCAATCTTGGCAGCATCTGCAGAATCAACTCCTTCAGTTTCATGTTTGGTAGAAAGTGATGATACCTTAGAAGGAGGATGAGGGTGGCTGGGCGCCAAAGGGGTCTCATGTAGGGTTTCATATGCCTTACTGGGTGCTCCCAGTGCACCACCACAGGGTTCATCTTTAAGTTCATTCTTCATCGTCGTCATTGTTTCCCCGTTCAATTTCCCTTGTTGCAACTTATCTCCATCCTCGAATTCCCTCCTCTCATCCCTATCTGTGTCTTCCTCAGCAAAACCCACTTTCTCCTGATCAAACCGCCGCCACTCATTCCACTCGTGCACAACCCTAGTTCGTTTATCGCCATACCGATCCTCCTCATCACTCTCTCCACCTCTATCTTTTCTCTTGCTGCTTCGATACTTTGTGTCGCGATCGAAATCCCATCTATCCATCTCGTTCTTCCTTCTTTTTTCTAGGGTTTTCTGCAATCTCTAGTCGTTGACAAGAATTAGAAATCGGAATACTTAGGCTAAATCTCCAAGAGAATTATATTTATACATTAAGTTTAAAAAAGGCAAGTTTTAACCGGAATTATTTTAGACTTTTAAGTTTTTAAATATGGTTATAAAGCTGTCAAACTCTAAATTAAAAGTATAAATATTCTTATTTTGCATATGCATTATTTAGACAAATTTTAGTTTTTATAGAAATAATCTTCGGAGCATTAAATCATCAGTTTTTGTTACTTATCTTTCCAATTGTTCAGTACCACAATATTTGAAAATATATCAAGACACAATCAATTATTTTGAGAATTCTATACAATTACACATTTGTAATTTAAGCCTAAACATTTAATCATTTACGCTAGCTGGCCATGTATCCAAACCATTCAAGTTTTCAAATATTGGTAAAGTGTTTTCTTAACATATCGTGAAATGATTTTGATTTAGCTTATGCATGGTTTAATGACGACTTAGAAAGAAATTTACGATTTTGCCACATAACCAAACTATTGATTCAATTAAAAAAAAAAAAAAAAAACCTAGGGTGGCAAATCGGACGGTCGTTTTGTGTTTTTATCCAACACGTCACGACGCAAGTATTTTCTCATCAACTGAACACAACTGGAGACTAAAGGAAAATGGATCAAATGGACTCCTCCTCCTTTTGGTATTTTGAAGTTGAACACAGATGATACCATGTTTTGTAGCTAACACGAACACGGCCAATTTAAAAAAACGAAGAAAGAAAACAACACCACAACACAAAAAAATAATATACAATATACATTTGCTTACTTAATTAAAATAACATAAGATATGAGTTCGATGGATCATATATATGCAACATAAAAAACACATTTTTTAACCAAAACAAAACTTGGAATAAAATTGCATATTAAATAATACCATAATAACCAAATTTTGCAACTTTTCTAGGATATTGCTAAGTTGTAACATTCGTTTTTCATTTCAATGTGGATGTTTTACACCTGGAACTGTCTCTAAGTGCGAGTTGTAAATATTCACTGCAAGAATCTCCACCTGTGTCGACGACATCTATACCGATGACACTTGTCGTCACTAAAACATCAGCTATACATACTGACGACTTGTCGTGGATACAGAGATGACCAAGTTTCTTCAACCTGGAACTCTATACCCACGACTTGTTGTCGCCATAGGATTAGCGGGAACAAAAATTATTTTTGCGTTTTTTCTGAAAACCTTTGTCGATGAAAATAACAGCGACGTCATTTTTGGATAAGCTGTCCCGATAGCATGTCATCGACAGAGAAATTGGTGATTCGTGTGAACTCTATACCAACGACTAGTGGTTGGTAAAGGATTTTAATTTTTTTTAATTGCGAGAAATTGGTGATTCGTGTGAACAATTTTTTAGATTTCATTTTGATTTAGGTGAATGTTGTTGCAAATTTTTCTTTGTTTTCCGGTTAGGTTGTCACCGGAGGACCACCGTTGACTCCACTTGTAACGTCCCAAAAATTATAGTAAAAATTTTGATTTTTCAAAACCATTTTATAATCTATAAGTCGTACAAAACATTGTTTCCAAAAACTTAGTTATCAAATAAGAGTATCCAAAAACATATCTCAATATAATATCCAAGGATGATGTGTACAATCGCACCTTCGCCTTGCCCCGATCATCTGATATACCTGAAACAATGAAATCAAACTGTAAGCCAAAGTTTACTGAGTTCACCCGAAATACCTCTCACAGCAAAATACATACAATGCATGCAATAAGGTCTACAGCACAAGGGTAGTCTGCCGTCGAGCCATCAGCTATAAGTTGGACTCCTCTCGAGCCTACAAGATAAGTTGCACCGCTCCCTTGGGCCTACAATATCAACTGGACCGCCCGGGTATCTTGGCATTTACCATAAAGCAGGATCGCCTCAACCCAACCATAACATGTCAACATATGTAACAGATAACATACAACCAACAAGTACATGTAATTATACAAATCTATCCATCTAACATATGTCCAAGAAATACAGGTAATCATACGGATCCGCCAATCTAACAACTCATTATAGCATAGCATCATCCTATATATCAGGATACATAACATGTAACATCCATAAAAATCATGCCAAATTTGAACTTTTAAAAACATTAAATTATTACAATTCGTTTTCAAAATAGTATCATATTAGAGTTCCCAGAAAATAATAATCATAAATCGAGGAAGTGTACAGTCACGCCTTCGCCTTCCCGCGATCATCTGAAGTACCTGAAACAATAATCAATAAATGTAAGCTCGAAGGCTTAGTGAGTTACCCCCAAAATACCAACGCCTTATAATCATAACCATATCATATAAACATATAAGCAAACAACATACATAATGAGTCTTCAGCCTGATTGGACCACCTCGCAGGCCTTCAGCCTATCTGGACCGCTCTCCGAGCCTTCGGTACGTCTGGACCGCCTCGCAGGGCCTACAGCCTATCCGGACCGCTCGTCGAGCCTTCGGTCTGACTGCATGCCCTCCTGGGCCTGTAGTCTATCCGGACCGCCCTAGGTATGTTGGCCTTCAGCACAAAGAAGGACCGCCTCAACCCAACCCCCAATCAAACAAACATGTGCACATAATATCATACGCTAGCATATATAACAGTCAAGTGACCTAACCGATCACTAACATAGCATCATCCTATATACCAGGATACCGACCTAACCAGGTCACTAAGCATATCACCATCCTAACTACTAGGATGTAAATCAATAAGCATATTATGCAATAACCCGGATACAAATCCGACAAGGGCCGGCATTGGTGCCTTAGACCCTGTTGATATAGTGAGGATAACTCACCTCAGAAATGTCGCACTGAAGTGATAAGCTCAAACTCTCGAATCACCGACACAAACTCCACCACCTATATTTACCATAAGACCATTTCCATAAATTTCCAAATTACCAGATACCCCAGAAGTCAACTAGTCAATCCTTGGTCAAATTCAAGGTCAACGGTCAAGGTCAACAGTCCATGTTGACCTGACTCGTCGAGTCCTTCCTGAACACGAGAAGTCGTGAAATCCCCGGTTGACTCGTCGAGTTTCCCCGCAACTCACCTAGTTCATGCATGTCCAAATGTCAGGAAAACTCAGCTGACTCGCCGAGTCATCCTACTGACTCGTCGAGTCCATGCAGAAGTCCTTGCACGACAATCTTCATCAAACTCACCGAGTTGGCCATGCAACTCGTCGAGTCCCTTCAATCCTCTCACCATCCAGACGATTTTAAGTCACTTTAAAGCTCCATAATGCAGATCTAAGCTCTTAGGGCATACTTCTTACGTAAAGTTGCAAACTTTACGTACATGCAAGGTGATAATCGCCCAAATCAAGCTAAAGAAAGGTCCTAAGGGATGAAGAAGGTATTAACTCACTAAAGGCTGAAACTTTATGATCCTACAGACCAAGATAAGCCTATATCTGAAGTTGCAACCTTAGATCACGCCTGATACCCAAAATAACATATAAATATTGCCAAAATGGCTCTAATCTCACACAAGAATAGATCTAGATAGAAGAAGGTCAAGGTAACAACTTGTTACCTCAGAAACAATGCTAAAATGAAGAAGAACTCAGATCTACAGCCCTCCTCTTGTTCCAAGCTTGAGTACTTCAAGATATTTCATCCACAATCCACCACAAGGCTTAATATCACACAAAAGAAAGAAAAATGGCAATTTTAGGGTTTCTGGACTCACAAGGGGCTGTAAGGGGAGGCCAAGGGGGCAAAGGATCCTTTAAATAGGGTGCAAAACTCCGAGGGATTAAGGTTTCTCATTCCAGCTCTAACTCACCGAGTCCGTCCTCCGACTCGCCGAGTTGGTCACTTAAAACCCACGACCAGAACCGTGCCTACTCGACGAGTCGGGGCATCCAACTCGTCGAGTCGACTTTTAGAATTGGAAATATAAGACTGAAAATGTATACCTAAGATTCGGGGTGTTACAATTCTCCCCCACTTTAACTACATTTCATCCTCGAAGTCTGCTGCGGTGAACAACTCTGAATAATGCTCCCGCATCTCAGCCTCCGGCTCCCATTGTACCTTTACCAAAGGCACTTCCTTGTTCCACAAAACCATTACCTTTCTTTCCAGAATGACCAGGGTCTCTCTACGTAGTTCAGGCGCCCATCGACCTGAATATCATATAATGACACCACCGCCTCCTCCTCCAGAACGCACTTCCGTAATTGCGAAACGTGGAAGGTACTGTGGATCTGACTAAGATCCTCTGGTAGCTCGAGTCTATATGCCACCTTGCCAACCCTGGCAATGATCCGGAAAGGTCCAATATATCGGGGACCCAATTTCCCCCTCTTCCTGAAGCGGATCACACCCTTCCAGGGTGAGACCTTCAGGAGTACCATGTCACTGACCTGAAACTCCAACTCAGATCGACGTCGGTCGGCGTAGCTCTTCTGCCAACTCTGCGCGGTCTGCAGCTGCTGTCTAATCTGCTGAATCATATTGGTAGTCTGCAGGACTACCTCGGTCCGACCCATCACCCTATGACCCACCTCACCGCAACAGACTAGGATGCAACATCTCCGCCCATACAACAACTCATAGGGTGGAGCACCAATGCTGGAGTGAAAGCTGTTGTTGTAGGAGAACTCTACAAGGGGTAGGTAGGAGTCCCAACTCCCACCGAAGTAAATACCACAGGCTCTCAACATGTCATCAAGAGTCTGTATAGTCCGCTCACTCTGGCCGTCTGTCTGCGGATGATAGGCCGTACTGAAGTGCAGTCGCGTGCCCAGCTCCTCGTGGAACTTCTACCAAAATTAAGAGGTAAACAGAACATCACGGTCTGAGACGATAGAGACCGGAACCCCATGACGAGCGACAATCTCACGTATATACACATCAGCCAGCTTCTCGGCCGATGAGCTCTCTCGG